GTGTAGGGGGGATCGCCCTTCTTCTGGGGGCTCCTTCCTTCCTGTTAATCCTCTGTCCCCTTTCAATGGCCTGAGTAGTGCCTTGTGGCACCACACAATGCCATGTCAGGACCAGTGCTGGAATCTCCTTTCAAGGATGCCCCCAGCACTGGGAAGGAGGATTTGGGATCCTGCAATAGCAGGAGGCTGCATCTTTGGGGACTGCAGATACAGTTGAGCCTGCAGGGCTGTGGCAACCCCCACGCACCGAGCCCCCCAGCTGCCTGGTCCCGGAAGAGCTCTGCCATATCACAAAGCCTGATAAGGTTTCCAACTGTCTCCAGCCCACGGGGTGCCCAGCAGATGCTGGTGGCCCCACAGCCGGGCTGTTCGTGGGGCTGCCGGCTTTCCCCCGCTCTCCTGGCACCCGCTGGCTCAGGAAGGGTATGAGCTCTGACTCGGCCGGACCCTGGCACGTATCTGTCGGGCTGCTGCATTTGAAGGAAGGTGGCTGCCTCGGATGATGATGGTGCAATGCAGGTCAGTGTATTGGCGGGTGTTCAGTCCCCTCTCCTCCTCCCCAGGAAAGGTATCGTGTTGCCACGGGGCCAAGCAGATCCCAACAGGAGTGGTGTAGGTCTGCAAGCCGGTTTGACCCTCCTGCCCCAGCTGTAGTCAAACCTGGCTACACTACAGGCTGTTCCCAAGGATGGTGGTGGCAGAGCTGAGAGCGTGGAGTGGGGTTCAAAGCACCATCCCGGGACTTGGCCTTAGGGCTGAGGGAAGAGCTGGCATTTTAGGGTGCACCCTGGCCTGGAAGAAACCCTGTGCGTGGCCCTGGAGGGAGTTGAGCTGTGCTTAAAGCCCCCTTGCCTGTGCTGAGCACACAGCCAGCCCATAGCGTGATGGCCCCTGAGGACCAGCCTAGTCCTGGCGGGGCACATTGCTGGTGGCTGGCCATCCTCCCAGGCTGTATTTAGCTGTGGCCCCTCCAAGGCCCCGTGCTGCTTGCCCTCCACCAGCTTTGGCTGAGCTGGAGGTGGCAGTTTCTCTGCAGATCCTGGGTGGTTTTGTTCTTGCCTTTGCCTCCCTACCCTGCGTCTCTGGGATCCCTCCAGTGCTGGGCATATCCCTGGACTGGAGAGAGCAAAGAGGGTCCCCAGGACGGGGCAGGGGAGGGCTGAGGCAGAGCCCCACAGAGGGCAGCCAGCCTCGGGCTGGTGGCTGGGCTCTGGGCATCGGATGCTGTGTCACCACCTCCGTTGCTGGGATGGAGCATTGGCTCCGTCGTGGCTCCCTGCAGCGCCGGGGGGGGCGTTGCAGGCCGGAAGGGC